TCATGAGCAGACAAACATGACACATTCAAGCTCTTAATATAAGGAGAAGATAACAAACATGTTACTGCTAAGGTGACTGTGTCCCTGCTGGCAATTTTAGCTGGCCTTTATAGGTTGAACTCTCCACCGGTAAACACCCCACAGATCACACTGTGTAGCACACCACCACTACACCACAGCGTTTAAGAGCTCATCATTGTTGCAGCATCCTCTTATGCAAATTCAACCCTTGGCTCAAGCAATGTCTCTTCAGAAATCACTGCTGAAGTGCAGAGGAGACAGACAATTTTCATCATGTCCAGGAACACTCAGCCTTGATTGCTTCTCCCATCCTCCATCACTGATTTCCAAAGGTCATGTCAGTCCTTTTACAGCCTTGACTTGGAACAACGACCTGTATACCACGCTGGCTGGAGAGGTGTATGCATACCGCTATCTTTTTTGCCTGTTGTTTCACAGCTGAGTTCCAGTAAAAACAGTGCCTTTAATATCAACATTTACCAGTTTGTTTTTAAAAGGACTGTCAATCCTTCTCTTCCTCACTCTACAGGCTGGTATTTTTATAATGTTTTCATCAACATGTGATTTCAGTGGGATGACTTCACCTTGCTATTTTTGCTTTGTTAATTAGAAAATGTAAAATATTACGTAAGTGCCAAGTGTTAAAAAGTAGCTGCCAAATAGCTCACCCCAAATAAGATGCATTACAAATTTTACTAATGCCTGATGTTATGATGTAGATTCATATACCCCATTCTGCATTTTGATTGTCTACCTGAGCATTGTAGTAGCACTTTTACTTCCCTCCCTTAATGTTCTCTTGAGTATCAAACAGCAAGCTTATAAAACAGAATGGCATTAAAGCATCCCAGTTTCATGGTCCAGACAGACTAAGTAGGACTTTCTCCCCTCCCTTACAGAAGATGAAAAACCAAAACAGGATGACTTAAAAAAGTCATTCTGTTTAACAATTTTACTTTAAATATCACCAAACTTTGGACAGATTCACTGCAGCTCTGAAATTTCTTTAAAAGACAGCTTGCTTTCTCAAGTTCATAGCTGGCAACTAGGAGATTGTGAACAACAAGTGATGTTTTTGACATGTGGCCTAATCTGCAGACTGCAGGTGCACATAATTTTGGATTTTGCAATGAAGTTGGCTAGTTGCCATGGTTGATCTTATCCATGAACAGTTTATTCAAATGAGACCACCATGTCACTCATAATATACACAGTGCACTCTTGAATAGGCCCCAAGAATTCCAACATCCTCTCTTCAACAGGCAGAGGCAGTTTTGACATCACACAGCATCATGGTATAAAGACCCAAGCTATCCTAATAATACAAAGTAAAACATCTCCAGTCATCCACACAACACTAGCAGCAACTCTATATGATGCAACCACAAAAATTTAGCCATTTAATTTTAATTCTACTTTGTTTTTATCAAAAGGTCAAAAGGCAAAAACTGATCCAAACAGCTTTTGAACTATTTCTAGTTCCATTAGGTAACTGTCTCACATGCAGGCCAGGTCCCCAGCAGGCATGAAGCAGTCCAGCTACACTGAAGTCAGCAAATTCACACGCATTTACTCCAGCCAATGATCTGTGTCTGCATAAGAGGCAAAAATGGAACCTGAACAAACTACAAAAACATACCCATCTGTCCCACAGGGTGTCAATCATTCTCCCCTCTCTCCATTGTTGTTTCACTTCATTTCTGACAAGTCCTGCACCTGGAATTTCCAACTTCTTTCCTTTCCTTCTGACAGACTTTGCTTCTTCTTTGATACCCACACCATTTCTACTCCAGAGATCCCCAACTTGGAGCATACTTAAAATCATGCCTAAATTTGCAAAGGGATTGAAAGCGTCATTTAAGATTTTATTGACTAACTGCTGCCAAGGAGGGACCCACTTTATTCTCCCTTGACTAGGAATAAGAAAGTTCAAAGACAAAACACATGGGTCTAGAAGTGCACTGAAAAAAAAAGACCAATTTCAAAATATTACCTCCTGTCCAACAAGAACAGTAGGTAGAGAAAGATTACCTTCAAACAACCCATCACTAGTCAGAAGGAGATCTTCCTTTCCAGCACATTAGCCAACAGTTGTGTTCATCCAGGTGTCCCAGGAGATGGGCTGAAGACCCCTGTTACAATTCCCATCAGTAACTTACAGATGGATTCATTGTACAGAGTCACTTAGGATCTAAGAACAAACTCTATACCAGCACTTTCAAAACAAACCATTATAAATATAAAGAGAAGTTTTTAGAACACTCCTAACCCTTTTTTTCTTAATCAGGCCAAACAAATCCCTAGAAACCTACCAGTTAACATAGAACTTTACGGCGTTTTAAACCACAGATATCCAGTATAACCTAATAATCACTGCATAATCTTGACAGTTTGCTGAGACTCATTTAACAAGTATTTCTCCTTCATCCCTGCAAAGTTTTGAGGCAGGACTTATTTGACATCAGATCTTAAGACATCTGCTGACAAAATACCAAGGTAGGAGTGCTTGGCTATGTATATTAAGCAAGCTACACCATCTGGAAGTATTCTCTGGAATCTCATCAATAAGGCTCTATCTTTCATGGATGCCATAGTTTGATCATTTTAAGCTACTCCTGACTTTGAACCCTTTGTGATGTGTGAGTGAGGGTTCGGAGCGAGTTCAGATAATTCAGCACTGAATGAATTTCATTGAAAAGCACATGAGGAAAGTAGCAAGGAACAAGACCTGAATCAGAGTTATAGTCCTCAAAGGGCTGGCAAGATTTCATCTTTACATGTCACTAGGTTCTTGAGAGCGTGCAGAGCGCCAAGCTGAATCATAAAAGTTCTGTTCTCACTATGGAGCTATTCTGCTAGCCTTGGACCAGCACAGTTGAAGTTATCAGCATATGAAATTGGAAAGCTATGGTAATCCGGTGTGTGGAACTATGCCACAACATACTTCCTGGTTTCCTTATTTTAGTTACCTGGGGGTTTTTGCCATCTCAGAGAAGGAAGCACAAGTTAAAATTGCTTATAAAATAAGAATTAGTTCTTGGATATGGTATCTATCACAACTGCGTGTGACTGGGCCCAATGGCCCATGGAATCCCATCCAGTTCTGTGAAAGTTCCACTGCTGAGCATCTCTGTCATGCGGAAGGGATGAAGGCTGTTCAGGATAAACCTGATGCCCTACAACAGCAGTAGGTGTTCAAACACTGCTGGTGATACCTTGCTTGTGCAAGTACAAGATACAGACCTGACCAACTGCCTGTAGTTAAGCACACCTGCCTCACAACTGCATGTATTTGCCAAGAACAGTGATCTTTATCACTGTCTTTATCTAGCGGTCATATTCCTAATGCAAGTAGAAAAACAGAATACCTTTCAATTGCAGCACACATGGAAATTACCAAAGTTAAATTTGAATGTGATAGTTAACAGAATTTTCCTACTTCCCAGAGATTCATGGGAGTGTTAGTGGGTTAAAAGCTAAGTCTTGCAGTTGTCAAACACTCCCAGGTTACTAGGTACTGTATAGTACCACAGAGTAAGGGAAAAAAAGGAAAAAAGAGCATGAGCAGTTTCAACTAAACATTTCAGTTGTGTCAGAGTAGAAAGTATACTTTACCTGTACTTATGACAAAAAAGTCTTTAGTTACTTCTTTGGGACTCTCTGCAATCATGATATACAGTAGGCTGTGTAGCGTGGCAATCAAGATTTTCTCCACTTCCATATGCAAAAGCATCTGTTTCTGGATGTACATTTCAGATCCCATGTTTTAAGTGACTGAACAGTGCCAGCTTATGTGCCAGTATCAGCCATGGAGTTGCTTACTTAAGCCCCTCTGCTCAAGGGATGAAAACAAAAGCAGGACTCCCACCCTACCACTTCTTATTGTGATACTTGAAAACACATCATTTGCAAGAACAGTCCAACCACTTCTTGGAACCTGGGAAGAAAGCTTCTGGGTTTCTAGTACTCAAAGCAGCATTATTCAAAGGCCTTTTTCTATCATATAGGAGACAAGCTGACATAAAGCAACACGGCAGTGTCGATGGAAAAAAAAAAAATACAAGTAAGCTTTTTTTCCCAGTGAGAAACTGTTTAAAAGAGCAATATTTGAGGTCATGCTCATAATTCACCTAAACTATAAAGCCTGTCAATACATTGAAAAGGGATTTCCATTTTAAAACAATTCTGACAAATACACATTTTTATAACAGTAAAAAAGCCTTCATAAACTAAAGTCAGGCTTAAACATATGCCTGTTTATTCTTCCACAAGGATTTTAATGAGTTTCTCCTGTCACTAACCAATTGCTAAAAGCATCTGTGCCATCTGCCTTCTAAGTCAATTGTGCTCTCAAAAAATGCACTCAACTTTATTTTTCACTTCGCTGCAGAAGCAAACCATTTGTGTGACAAGACATCAATATTCCTTAAAAAAGTTGCAACTTCATCTTTAGACTGTGCTGAAGAGCTGAATTGAGAGAGAAACTATATTCTTCCTTTTAAGTAGACGTGTAACAGCAAACAGGCGAAAAAGAGACCATGTGAAGCCTTGCATGCATTCTGTCTTCTTTATTAGCTCAGCACAGAAAGGCTGTGTATGTCTTAGAAGGGACTAGACATCTAATGGGCACAGAACATTCTTCTCCACTCCACATTCCTATCACTCAAAGGTATCCCAGTTCCTCATTGGCACAGGCAGCAAGGAAGATCTCTTCTTTCAGAATTTGATCTTGCATTTCCATGGGGCCAGCTCCTCCTGCTCTGCAGACATATTTCAGCCCTTTTTCAGGGACATCTAGCTCCTTCGCCTTCTTTGATCGGATCTTCCTCCTGCCACCTAAACCCAGACTCAGATACCCATGCTCACATGAATGCGCAATTTCAGTCAGATTACTCACAGAGTATGGTACTAAATTCAAGGGTCTAAGAATCCAGTTTCTGATGCATTCTGCCCCTCAAAGGTATATGAAATCCACCTACCTTTGCACCGGCCGCGATGTGTCACGCTCAGACTTGACTCCCGGCATTTGGCTCTCTGGTAGTCGCACATTGACTCATATGTTCTGCCATCAGAAGCACAGAGGGGTTTGGACTGGGACCTGGAGCAATGCAGGTTACATTGAGGGTCTCTGTCACGGTCGCTTATTAAAAACTGAAGGAAGTAAAAAAAAGGAGGGAGAAAGATATTGGTTTTGTTTGGTTTCCCAAAACAGAACACATAGATCTTTAAAAAAACTAAGGGTCTTTGCCATTCCATTTTCTTTAATAGAATGGAAACATTACTCACTCTGCCTCACCTCTGAAAACAAGACATGTAAAGCCAAACACAACCACAAGGGAAGGGCAACACTGAGTCACAACAGCCCAGTTGGCCCAGTGCACTGCTGCAAACAGTATCTGGTACTAGACAATTTTAGTCAGAGGTGCAAGAAACTTATCACCAAGGATGGAAGAACCCAAAATAACCAATCAAGACTGGCCTTAGTAGTTGAACCATGGATGTGGTGAGCTTTATACCACCAGTTATTTGTTTTTTAAATCATTACTGATGTCATCTGTGGATACCACCTGCAACAGCATATCTGCATGCTCCCAAAGCCACATTTTGTTTCTTTCCAATGACATCCTGCACAGCTGGCAATTGCATTCCATGCATCCCACAATCTAATTGCAAGCTATGTGAAAAGCTATTTCCTTCCAGAAGTTTGAATTTGTCATCTTTCTGACTACCTCTTCTTCCTGAGCATTCATTTTGGATGCAGCCTGTTTTGAATAAACACAGTACTCCTTTCTTTCAGTCTCTCAATGCAAACAACCCCAGTCTCCCAATTCCTCAACCAGAAGACTTCCTCTGTACCATGATCACCGCTGTTTCCCTTCTCTGAAGGCAGCTTTGCTTCTGCCTTATCTTTTGGAGATGGGTAAACCTACAACATACATGAACGAGTCCTCATTTTCTGTCTGCTTGTTCTCTGCAAATCCCAACATCTGACAGTAGTGTTACTGTTGTACCCTCAGCTGTACTCTGAGCTGTCTATAGGGATATCCAGGTCTCTTTCCCAAATTCATACTATCTTCCTGAGGACCTCGACTGCCAGTCCTTGATCCTTAACCACTGGAAGCATTTCACCAGGATGTGATAGTAGCAGCCCTTTTCACTTCCCTTGCTACCTCGCTTAGTGTTTGGTTAGTCAGACCTTTAACTATTACCCAAACCCAACCACTTGCCCACAGGAAGATTTCAGAGGACTCTTGAAACAAGTCCCACAAGGATTTAGCAAAGACAAGGGAAGTTAAACCTGCCTTGCACTTCCCCTTCCCAAGCTCCCATCTCTTAAGCTTCTCAAGCCTGGGGGGACCAGAGTTGCTCTCTAACACACCAACATCCCAGCTTGCTGTCAAAGCAGTTATGAGCTCAGCAGTTCAGAGCTGGCTGGCAAGCGGGCACTGACTGACGCCCTGCCTGTATGCACAAAGCCATGGCTCTCCAAGAGTGTTGATAGCTGGATGCCTTACAGGGAAGTGTGAGTCATTGCCATAATCACCTTGGTGTTACAGTTGCCTACATAGCTGTCTGCTTTATGCTTTGAGGTTAAAGCTGTTGAAAAAACATTGCCTGAAGCCTAGTTTGGGTTGGTTTTTAACCATTCCAAGAACATGCATCTCTGAAATTTGTTTTTTGACATTTAAAAAAAATTCTTCACCCTCTTTCTCCCCAATTGAGATAAAAAACAATTGAGAAGTTGCTTATTTTCCTATAAAAATATATTAGCTCTGTACTGCTGGGTCTTTTGAAGACTCACACATTGCTAAAAAGCCTATTTAAACATGACAGCTGGGAAAAGTAAGAAAGGTCTGCACTTTTTTTAATTTGGGTGAGGCAAACTTTTAAAAAAAATCTCATCTGTCAGACTTGCCAAAATTTGTAACAGCACAGAGCTGTTAAAATGTTTTTGTTCGTTTTCTGCAACACTTTCTATAACCTGGCAACACCTGTTCCAAATGGGAAATTGGAAAATTTAAACCTGAAGGCAATGTTAAATGGTTTATAGAGACCTGGACTAGACTATAAAAACACTGTAAAGCTGGATCAGATTTTTGCCCAGTTCTTGTCAGAGGTTGAACTATCACAAGTTAGCTCTGAATTGCTCTGGCTACAATAATGTCTTTTTGTAGCCCCCGAGGTGCAAAGATCACCAGTGACTGCAAACATATAGCAAAAAGCAGCAGACTGAAGATGCTGAAGCTTCCTCCTGGCATGTGATGTCAGAGACCCTGAAAGGCTCGCAAGGCTTTTCAGCTGTCTGTATAAACAAACTTTAAAAGCAGAGCTGCCTGATAGCACAGTATGGTGCACATACAGCAATTAAACATTCAGTTAAACACAGACGCCATTCTGGTTTAGAAGGAACGCATGCATCTACCATTTATCACAACTCTGAGGGCTTGAGCTACTGGCATGGAACTTTCTGTAAATTCCTTGTGCCAGAAGCTGAGTTCCACAGATCAGAATTACCCAAAGGTGCACCAAACAAGCTAGAACACTAGTCCCCACATTAAACCATATTACAAACTTACCGAAAACTCAGCTTGTATCACAAAAACTCACCTAAGACTTCTGCAGCCTGTACAAAAACACTTAGTACAGAGGGCCCTTGCGGGCCTCTCCTTCCAGAAAGGACATCTCTGAAGAACAGAAAGACCTTCTCAGGGCTAGCATGAAACCTAAGGCTATGGCACAGCTTTCCTCTGGTGCCTCCTCGCATAGGGAGGAACAGCTCAGCATTGATTAATTATAAGGGCCTGAGGAAACATGCAGAGTGCCCCAATGCAGTCTGTGAAGTTCTTGCCTACCCAAATTAAGCCAAGAACTACAATATTAAAAAAAAAAAATCAAAGCCTTTCTATCATTTGTAATTTGGATTACAGTAGGGAGCCCACACAGCATGTTAGGTGCTTTCCAGACACTGAAGATGCCACACCTGCCTTGCCAAAAAAGTTTATGGTTTACATAGTTGCACAAGATGGTGCTTGTTTTGTTTGGCTAGATTATAATTGTAAAAGTCTGTGCTAATTTCCAGAAGGATCCAGGATCATGCCTGTCTGATCAGGGTTCTTCTCGTGATCAGACAGCACTGCCAGAAAGGCCAGATCTGGAGATATTACCAACGGGCTTCAAAAACTCCCTCTTACAGTAGGACACCTGCCCCACTGTAGTTCAGAGCCCTTGCCTTTGCTCAGCAGCCCCAGCAGCTTTCAGACAGTAAAATGCTGGGTTTGTCCCATTTCTAGTTGGTAATCTGTCACTGTTTAGAGCAGGGCGGCAATAAAGAAAGCAGCAGATGCTCTCTGTGCTATACAGCATTCATGCTACAGAAGTGATCATCAACACAGGCCATCCAGAGACATTTAACATACTCATTGTTTTGAGCGTCCATCCCCTCCCGGCCAGCACAGAGTTCATTACTAGTATTTTCCCTGTCTGAGAGCACAACAACTGATCTCCTTTGTAAGCAGTCTCAGCCACTTGAAGAAAAAACACTGGATGAATGCTGAAATATGCATCTGTCCATGGGGTGAGCACCTGAATCTATCATTTTAGCAGCTAGGACTAAGTTACTCATTCCCAGATCTTCATTCCCACTTTGAGCAAGCAGGCGCTACTTGTCCAAGGAGCACAGCCCTGCTCCAAAAGAGCACCTTGGTCACTGCAGGTGACTGCACAGTGTGCCCCAATGCCTAGCTACCGATGCTCCCCAGATACCGCCCAAGCAGTAACACAGTTCCCTGGTCCCTTCAAACCAGGGGAAGCATAGAAAGATAAAGTCTTCTGCCTCTAACACCAAATGACCTATCACAACTCTCAAAGCTCAAATCAAAGTTTGTGGTCCTAACAGCCTCAGGATGCCCTCACAAACAGGCTGTGTAAACAACAGCATCAACATTCAGAGCAATGCTTGGTGCTGTACACAGACACACAACATGAACACATCTGGACTCAGGGGAAAAGTAACCCTGCAAAAACATGTGCAGCACCAGCAGGTTTCCAACGTTCATCTAGAAAGAAGAGGGAAATAATGATTTTAGCTTTGAGATTTCTCACAGCTTCTTTTTGATACCTGTGTTCCCATTTGCTTCAGCATCCAAAATAAAAGCAACTGGGGATGGTGTCACTGGCTTATCAGTCCTTCTCTCCCCCCTTTTCCTCTCCAAGAGAAGAACTATCAAAAGCAGGACCCAAAAAAAAAACCAAACCCCACAAAAAAAAAATCACACAAAAAATAGCAGGAATAATCTATTTTCCAGTGAAATGTTAAAACTGACCAGATTCCAAATAGTATCCCTTGAACGTAGACTCAATACCAAAATAAGCGTAAGTAACACTAGTACTAGACAACAGTGTTTGTGTTTTCATAGCATTTGCACAGCTCCTACACCAAAGTCCCTGCTCTGAAGAGCTTCCAGTTCAACACAGCTCTCAGAGCATCTTTTTACGTCAAACGCTGTATCTGTATAAGGACATAAACCTCTTCCTTTGGCAAATACATTTACACAGGTGCTTGAAGAAACCACTTCCCAAACTACTTTCTGCTTCTTCAGACTTGAAAAGAAAAAGGAAAGATAAGAGGTCAGAATGAAGTTAACTTTGCCAACAAAGCATATCTGTTCTTTTTCTTCACACCTCAACACCACTGCTGACAAACAACAAACACTGATTAAAGGGTTTTTAATGCCTGTGAAGGAAAGCAGACTCCCTGCAGCTGCACAGCAGCTGGGAACACTTGTGTTATTTAGCAGAGAAAGGTCTGACCCCACAAGTGAAAATGAGCTTGGTGGTCACTCATTCTATTCACCATCTGGGTACGTTATAAGCACAAACAGAACAGCACAGCCCTTTGTGGTGGGGGTAAGGAGAAATGGCCAAGGCATTAGAGTACCAGAGTAACACGCTTTAGCAAGGCTTCGGGGAAAGAGGTAGCAAGGGCCACAAGTGGCATGAATGTGAGAAAGTGGCAGTCTGTTAAGAAACAAATCTACAAGACAGAGTCCACTACAGATCAAAACAGAGGAGCCTCTGCTGTTTTGCAGCTTTGCTTCTGATTAGTACTGCAGGCTGCTGCCTAACAAAGCTGGGGAGTCGAGAGATTGAGA